AGCATTATCATACCACAACTTACCGGAACTTGCTTGACTGTTCTTCTAGTATCTGTTTGTTCTTCTCTGCAATGACTTCATTGAAAAACCCTGCCATATCTCCCTTTGCCCTGAAAAACAGCATCACCAAGAATCGAACCCGCAACCTCAGAAATGAAAGGCCACACGCTCACCCACTCAACCAACCCTCCACCAAAGAGCACTCACTTCATTCTGCGCATCAACTGTGCGTGATCCGACTTTTTATCACTAAACGTAGAGGGCAACATATTAGGGAAGAGCCGCAAGGCAATCGGCAACGCCAACTCTGAATACAAAAACAAAACATGCAGTCATCATCAACCTCCATAGAAGCTTTAGCAGTTTCAGCGATTGAGTTAACTCACCGGCGAATGGTATGATGATGAACAAAGAGAATGGTACTAGCTTGAAAAGGTCCGTGACCGTCCGCACCTGCACTAAATATGAGCCGATCGAAGCAGCGACAACACCTACCAGGAGCTTGTGTTCTCTCAACGTGAGCTGGTATCCACGGGCCTGCCTGAGAAAGATATGTCTTCGCACTGCGAAGATTTTGGGTGAAATCCTCCAACGCACTCACTTCATGACTAGTTGTGTTGAAAGTTGTACATTCTTGCCGAAAAGCTTCGACCCGTTCTTCACCCACGCCGACATATGATGGAGAGCCTCTTTTAGATCCGCCCACCATTGTAAAACGATTCGTGGCTGAACGGAAGCGGCACGTGCTCCAAACCCAAAGACCCCTGGTTCTATCCCATGTATTACATTTTTTATAAACGACCAAGTCAGCCTCAATGTTCCAAGGGCAAATCTCCCCGTCATATTAAGAGTCCACCAGGCAACCTTTCGAGCTTTTATTGCCGCTTTCCGACCATATTTCTTCACCTAACAACAAACAGGGTGTGACCGTAACGACCATAAGAGAGGCAAACTCAAATGCGAAGCCCTTTCCATGCTTCTATCTTTATTAAGACCGCGCGCCCCAAAAATAAGCAGTGCCCATTCTCCCGAGAATTCGAGCCTCATCCGAACAACGTGCCGACACTGTTGGTTCACAATACTCATCAACGACCATTCGCCCTCCAAGCCTTGAACCGAATAATGTTTCAAATCCATTCGCAGTGCATGTACCCTTTCTAGCCGCCAACCCTTTTCTAAATTCCAGGCAGCCTACTTCAGGGTACGTTATCCTCAACGCTGCGGGTAGTGCAGGAAAGGTGAGACGGCGCAAAACAGTCGATCGGGCGTCCTTCCGCTCCTCCTCCTCCTTAGACTTGTTCTGGCTAGGATCCGCTGACGGCAGTCCACCTGAGCCCAGAGTCACTACCCACTCAGCCATCTGCCTCACCCTTCCCATTACTGCCTTCTGCTGCATCGTCTACCGTACCAGCATCATACCGCTGCTTCATGTCTTCTTTGACAGCAGCTGAGGCCTCATCTACACCCGTCGAAGCTACGAATATCATATCGAGAAGACTGCGTACCCCCTTAGTAAACTACCTCCCATCCTTTGTGTCGTTGCATTGCTGCTGCTGACGTCATTGAAAGCGCCTGTCATGAACCTTAAGCGTGAGCTGCCACCACTCCAGTGTAGTACCTCTTAACATCGCTGGACGGCCTTCTCGGTCAACTCTCTCGCTGCTACCACTACTGCTGGAAAAACCTGCACAAGAGATGGGATGGACTCGACGACGTTGAAACTGAATCCGCACAGAATCAGGCTATATCATAGTGATGATCGATCGACAGCGAAAGAGCCACAAGTCCCTTCGAGCTGGCGCCTACCTCGGAAGGGTAACCTCCGTATTGGGGGTATTGTGGTTCGAGTTATGAGGACTGTTGAGGAGCGGCATAGCATAGCCGGCAGAATCCTAATGGGCCCAACAGGAGGGGCCAATGGGGGCATGATGATATGAATTATACTATTCTCGTGATGAGGAACTCCCCCACTATACTCAAATCGATATCAGCAAGAAACAGTCACACGAGTGTATCGCTATAGTTACTATACGAGGATAATACTATACTTCACTACTATCCTCCTCAATCACCACCCAGCTGTCTACCCTGACCGCCGAATGGGACAAAGCCACGACTGTTCCCACTCGGTCTTCCTGATGGCTGGTTCACTAGGCCGCCGGTGGGCGCACCTTCAGAGGGGGCTGAGGGCACTCCTGCAAGCAAGCGAGAGTGGAAAATCAACTGGAGACAGCAAAATAAGATCCTGGTGACACTACAGAAACTTGAGGAGTTCTAACGCCAATAGCACCACAACTCATCTACGCAGCTCTGCCCTCCAGTTGTGGTACGAAGACATTTCGAACTAAAGTGCGCTCCTGGCGCTTCCTCCGGCCTACGACATTTTTCCTCGTATTCCTCCATATTTTGCGCCACTGCGCTCGACTTTCAAATGAATGCTCACTAACCCTATCACTACTACTATTCTCATAACGAAAACCTTCCCAGCTCTCACCAAATGTTGTCTGATATGACACAGGTCCGGCCGGCGGTTGACCAATAGCATAAGGATCACCTAAGAACAGTGTAGCAGTTCCCCTGTAGTTCCCTTTGAGCTTACCTCCTAAGAAAGGCTGTGATGATACTCCTTCTCCTTCTGTACTACTATTGATATGCTTAAACGCTCTGTATGCCACCCAGCTTATCACACCCTGAATTGGAGGAGTAGATGGTATCATGAGAAGTGGTATACTCCCACACTATGCTGCTGGTCTTTGCTCTCTCACTGGGGCAACTATGCCACCGTCATATATGCACTAGTGCAGTCAATTTCTGTGGCTGGGGCAACTATGCCACCGTCATATATGCACTAGTGCAGTCAATTTCTGTGGCTGGGGCAACTATGCCACCGTCATATATGCAACAGTGCAGTCAATCCCTGTGGCTGGGGCAACTATGCCACCGTCATATATGCAACAGTGCAGTCAATCCCTGTGGCTGGGGCAACTATGCCACCGTCATATATGCACTAGTGCAGTCAATTTCTGTGGCTGGGGCAACTATGCCACCGTCATATATGCAACAGTGCAGTCAATCCCTGTGGCTGGGGCAACTATGCCACCGTCATATATGCACTAGTGCAGTCAATTTCTGTGGCTGGGGCAACTATGCCACCGTCATATATGCACTAGTGCAGTCAATTTCTGTGGCCGGGGCAACTCTGCCACCGTCATATATGCACTAGTGCAGTCAATTTCTGTGGCTGGGGCAACTATGCCACCGTCATATATGCAACAGTGCAGTCAATTTCTGTGGCTGGGGCAACTATGCCACCGTCATATATGCAACAGTGCAGTCAATTTCGGTAACTGGGGCAACTATGCCACCGTAAGATATGCACTAGTGCAGTCAATTTCTGTGGCTGGGGCAACTATGCCACCGTCATATATGCAACAGTGCAGTCAATCCCTGTGGCTGGGGCAACTATGCCACCGTCATATATGCAACAGTGCAGTCAATCCCTGTGGCTGGGGCAACTATGCCACCGTCATATATGCACTAGTGCAGTCAATTTCTGTGGCTGGGGCAACTATGCCACCGTCATATATGCAACAGTGCAGTCAATCCCTGTGGCTGGGGCAACTATGCCACCGTCATATATGCACTAGTGCAGTCAATTTCTGTGGCTGGGGCAACTATGCCACCGTCATATATGCACTAGTGCAGTCAATTTCTGTGGCCGGGGCAACTCTGCCACCGTCATATATGCACTAGTGCAGTCAATTTCTGTGGCTGGGGCAACTATGCCACCGTCATATATGCAACAGTGCAGTCAATTTCTGTGGCTGGGGCAACTATGCCACCGTCATATATACAACAGTGCAGTCAATTTCGGTAACTGGGGCAACTATGCCACCGTAAGATATGCTCCAGTGAAATCAATTTCTCCAATAGGAGTAACGATGGCACCCCAAGATATGCGTTAGTGCGATCAATAGAACTCCACTTGGGGCACCTATGCCACCACAATGTATTCTTTAATGCAATCAATTTCTCCAGGAGACAATTGCGCCACCGGAAGATATACCTCGACTTCTCAGCCGAAAATGCTCCAATCCCGCTCGAGGGGCAGATATGCCATCGCGCGTATCTCGTCTCTCATTCCACCAGCGCAATGCAATACGGTCAAGACTTCATCAAGGCACGACTCGTTGGAGTCGCGGATGGCATACCGGCCCCAAAACGAGATGTGATGTGAAGAGTAAAGTCGTTGCTGAACTCCAAAAATTTTCAAAATAGCGACGAAAAAATCCAAAAAAAATCAAAATCGATTTTTGAGCTCCGTGCAAAACCAGACAATTCAAGTCGAGCCCCGTATACACTGGCTCCTAATACTACCTGTAGGATGAATGAGAATAGTAAAGATATCTCCAGTAACATTGGAACAACGAACCCTAGCTTGGCCAAATGGATCGAAGTGGAAATCATACTAAAGAAGCGGATACCGTCAAAGACGCAATTTATCACACCTGAGAGTAGTAGCGGTCAGATGAGCTCTCCACTAGTGGGCAACTTACAGATGAATATTGCTGGTAAGAGACACTGCAGACCACCAGGCCCACATGCACCCAAAGGGGAATTGAAGAGACAGGAATAACATGTGGCCATACTGGGATCGTTCATGAGTAGGTAAGTACAGGAGAGCGCAGAGAACCTATCAAAAGACCGAACCACAATTATCCTACGGAAACCTAGGAGTAATTCAGTGAAATCATTCCGCAGCCGAAAACCCCTCTCGCTTACAAATAAGGAAGAATTCCAGAGTCAATTTTAAGATTCACTTTTGGTCAACTGAGCACCCGGTTATTATTACAGTATAGCCAAACAGTTGAACGGCCCATCCAGAATGAGTCTGATAGGCACTAGAATCCAAAGGCCTATGGTGCAATATTTGGCCGGCTTCATTATCCGCAGTAGGTCCTCAGAGGCCTCTCCTTGCGCTGATGTTGGTGGTAATGGAACAACCATATGAAAAACTAACCGGGCAAAAAACGATTGCATCCGCCTTTCCACGCAGTGAGATTAACATGGACGACCTAAATGGTCACGTACAGAGCTGGAAAGATACCCAAGCTAGAAGCGTCTGGTTGGAGGATCACCTACAACAATCTGGAGTGACGTCACCCATGTCGGAGCACAATGATTTTCTTTCCTTTGAATCTGCCGGCCCAGGTTCGAATCCCGGTGAGGTCATTTTAAAATATTTTTTCTCAACTTTCATCGACTCTATTCACGTGTGTGTCTAGCGCTCAGATATATAACATTTCGCGTAGAGGAACATATCACAATAAAAGGTGACCTTCGAACATGAAAACGCTCTCGCCTTCACTGACCGTTGGTCGATTCACATTGTTTCTCTCCCTTACACTGTATAGGCCTATCTTTAGTAGTCAATGGCATCAGCAGTGCCTCTCGATACAGGCAACAAGCCTGCTACTTCCACTACGGACTCTCCTCCAACCACACCAGAAGAAGTCATGGAGAATTCCGTCGTGGCCCAGGAGAGAACGCCGACCGCCGCCGCTGCTGCTACTGCTGCCACTCTAGCAGTTCAGATCGACCCTAATTTTGATGCAGTAGAATTTTTCAAGGAGGAATTGCAGAATGAAGACTCCTGTGAAAGGGCTAAGTGCGCCAGAAGGGTGCATCTTATAGCGAGTCATATCGGACCTCAGAAGACCGTATCGATGTTGGTAAGAACATAGAAAGGCTCTACTCGAAGGGGAAGTTTTGTATCAGATACCACTAATAATGGATGCTATACAGGCTAAAGGGATATGCTATGATGATGACGAGGTAGTAGTGTTGGAACCTAGTAGGAGTAGTAGTCATACTATCAATAGTAGTAGGAGTAGTAGCCATACTATCAATAGTAGTAGGAGAAGTAGTCATACTATCAATAGTAGTAGGAGTAGTAGTCATACTATCAATAGTAGTAGGAGTAGTAGTCATACTATCAATAGTAGTAGGAGTAGTAGTCATACTATCAATAGTAGTAGGAGTAGTAGCCATACTATCAACGGCCTCCTGCAGGTCCTATATGCCTTGGCCCTGAGTATGCCCAACCTTATAAGCCACGTGGACGGCCATTATGAGGTAGAGTCCTTATTCCTCTACCTCGTCCATCATATCATCAACAACAGGCTCTCGTTCCTCCACTGGAGTGCCTTGCCAGACAGGACGAGACTGTCATCAGGAATGCTGCGGTTGCTGGCCTCGTGAAAATTGCTGAGAACAGCGAGAGTATATGTCAACAATACTGCTTCCCAGCACTAGTCAGGTAATGGGAAATTGGATACTCTCATAGGAATGATGAAGTTGGTTCAGGTTAGCAGCGGGTGAATGGTTCACAGCAAAAGTCAGTGTATGCAGTCTGGCTCCTGGTGAGTTATTATCCATACCACTCCTTGGTCAAATCGTCTATCCAGGCCTATACTGTCACTGCTCTGATCCGCAGAAGGCTGAGATTAGACGGCTATTCGCTGTCCTTGTCAATGATGATACGCCTATGGTACGGAGGGCTGCAGCACAACAGACTAGGTAGGGTTATGTTCCAGCCGGATTGGGATAAGGGTCACTTAGGTACTTATTTCAAGTGGTTGACAAGGCGGCTATCATAGCAGAGCTATTGGGAATTCATCGGGCACAGGCTACTGATGATGTACAAGATTCTATACGGTAGTATTTTTATTATTGGTATAGTAGTTATTCATACCATCTTTTTCGAAATTCTCGGTCGTAGTAGAATAAGGATGATACCACAGCATTTTCAGGTAGAATTAATATTTTACCGACAAATTTAATTTTTCATCCATTTGGTTAACATTTTACCCATGGCTTTAATGAAATAGCAAGAAAATTAATTTTATACCCGGTTTGTTTGAAAGTTGGTGAGTTTAACCCAATGTCGTCAAGTAGATCATCATCATCATTAAACGATTGCTGCAGTATACGGTGGGATCTACTGTTGGCATTTGTTTTTCGTGTGTTTGGCCGTGCGAACCGCATTGGGTCTGGTTATCATGCGTATCGTATTATGTCCAATGTCATATCGGGGGTCTATGCTGTGCTTGCAGTCATGTCTCGATTGGTTGTTGAAGTAGCATAGCCTGTGATAGTTGTAGGGTTGTCCGGTTCCCTATCATGGAAAAGGAGTTTAGCCTCGGATGCTATTGGAAAAGATGTTGTTGTGAAAAGTTGACTAGAATATTTTCCAGCGAAATACGTCGTTACATTGTCCTTTTTTTCTATAGGGAGGCCTGCGTGCACTCTACTATGGTGCTGGCGGAGAAGTTTACTGAGGACGAAAATAGGTAAATATACGATTATGCAGCTTCTACGCAGAATTAATACCACTCCTCTTCGAACTGCTATCAGGCAATATCTAGTATGGGCATTGACATCGTTCTTCACCGACCGTTCATGGAGGGTTAGGCTGCTAGTAGCCAAGTACTTTGACAGGCTTTGTCGGGCTTTGGGGTAATGCAATAATTAAGTTTTTAAAAATAAGATGTTGTTCAGGTCGGAATTGACAACATCGGAGTTGTTGCAACCCTTCACTGGTTTGCTCAGTGATCCCGAACAGGACATCCGCATCGCGGCTGTCGAGGCGGTGAAGAAATGCGTCTCGGTTTTAACGGTACGTTTGTGATGGTATGATGATGGTCAGTGTGGTTACCTATTAGGTGGATCAGCTCGAAACGTTTATCGTGCCACAGTTTTCCAAGTTGGCTTTGGACCAATCTCAGCCGGTGAGAGCGGCTCTTGCGAATATTATCGGCGATGTTGCTGAGGTGCTCGGTAGTAAGGGGGGAGGGGAGTCTTAGGAGCGGAGGAGTTGAGAGAGTTTTGGTAGGGCAAGAAGATACACAGAAATCCCTATTGAACTTAATATTGGACCTCATGAAAGATGAGCATCACACTGTGAGGCTGAACATGGTCTCGCAAGCGGCTACTATATGCGGGGTAGGGGAGAATTAGGGAATGGAGTGGTAGTGGTAATGTTGGTAGGTGCTGGGTCTGGACACTATGGTGGGCTCTGTCCTGGGTACGGTGCAATCGCTTATTATGGATAATCAATGGAGAATACGACTGGCTGTTATTGAACAGATGCCTAAGTAACGGGGAAGTTGGACGATGATGGTATGAGGTTTGATTTCTATCAGGTTAGCTCAGTTGTTCGGGCCAGAGTTATTTCAACAGAAGTTAGAGAAGCTCTTTCTTAGCAGCCTCAACGACAGTGTATATAGTGTTAGAGAGGCTGTTATTGCCAATATACAGGTGAGTAGTAGTAGAACTGTTCTGAAATATTTATGCAGATTGGTTATAATGTTAATGGTATTGAAAGTGTTGTTCGGCGTTTCTTGAGTTGTAGAAGATCATTCTGGTCGTAGTCTGTCATCTACTGGTAACCTGTTGAGATAAACGTAAACCGCATGATCGTATTATCATAAAGCCACTGAGTTTAGAAAAAAGTGAAGAAAAGATATGAAAAAACACACCCTAGTGAAAAACATATTTCACGACTACTGCATATCACCACGAATATCGCGTTTTTCACCGAGTTTTACGCCACTTAATATACTCCAATATAGTAGATATTATGTCGATAAAATATATACCACTTATAGTAAATCGTAACATGGTTATACTCCATAGAATATATTATGATGCTGAGCAATGCTATTGATGGCGATGCTTGAAAGGTCATTGTTCGTATATTATTAATTCATCTCAGCCGATATCCGAGGTCTTTGGTTCGGTGTGGACTGAGGAACACCTTTTGCCCAAGATCGTTGATCAATATAAGCAAGTTCACGGACAAGGATATAGCGGGCGACTGACTACCCTACAAGCAGTAACATATTATTATTATTTTCAACTTCTTGTGATTGGTGATCTCAGTTGCCTCGGTTGACCTATGTGATGAGCTCAGAGCAAGTCGAGAAGCATATCATACCGGTGTTGGTTGAGGCTACTAAGGATCCAGTACCTAATGTTAGGTAGGGTGGGAAAAGGAAAGTGTCTTGAGTGATGGATGAGATCTTGCCAGGTTCGCGGCTTGCGAGTGTTTGATATGGATGCTGGAGAATCATAAACTGGAGAACCCTATGATGGTTACACAATCTTTGGAGCCTACTGTGAAGGACGTTTTGTTGAAAGAGCAGGATGCTGATGTGAAGTAAGAAATGCCCTTGCCGGGGATCGAACCGGGGATCGCCCTTTTGCTTACTTATAGGTATATTGCCCAAAAGGCTCTAGATGTCTGCATAAAGGTGACGTAGTGACTATGATATTACGAGTGGCATGATAGAGGAATCGTATATATGGCTACTGCTCTCTCTGTTTCTGACGTCTCTACTACTACTCGATATAAGCGGCACCATGACCGACGGCCAGACTGTATATATAATTTTCACAATTATTAAAGTCGCGAGTAGAAAGGATGTGTCATGAGCTGCAAGCAGGGCTGCCGTACGTCACTCGATGCCGGCTTATTAAGCGTGACTTAACAACTGTGTTGAGGGATTGCAAGATTTCAAGATTCACAATAAGTATTGTGTTCAAAAGTACGAGGCAACATGAGCTTATTGTCTGATCTATTGGAGTACGACAAAGCACTACGGGGGGTTTGGCTCATCCTCGTGAAACTGTACGCCGTTCATATAACGAATAGTCGTTCCTGAGTCAAAACTAAGAATTCATAATCTTCATTCATCCTCGAGATCTGTTCGAATGATTGAATCATTCGCCAATCTCCAGTTCTCCACTCTGATCCATCCGCGGGCAAACCAGCTACACTATGGATGGTCCGAAATCAGCCGACCATCGCCTCACTAGTCTGTGCCGGTATGCAGAAAATTCAATCCATAGGGTGAATTGTGCACACTGAGTTTGCCACAAGGGAAAGGGATTTGTTATAGGATTCTCAGACCTTTGAGAATCCCGAGAACGAAAGTCAATACCAATCGGGAGAGGTATTGACCCGTCCGTCTTCACTCTTGCGCCAGAAGCATCTTGGTGTCACGATATCATGAATTACGATTCGTGATGGTTCTCCTATCAATGCGTCATCACGAACCGCGCCCCCCCAGGTCACCTGTCGCGCTCAGCAGTATCGACCGCTTTGTCGGCGGGGACTCTAATTCGCCTTTGGTTTTGAAAATCTAGTCCATGCATTTGTAGGTGTAACGAATTTCTCCTATTCCGCGATTACCACATTTCCTGTGAAAACTTTAACTATGCAGACCATCTGCGTAACGCAGAAGGTACGTAATTTTCGTTGGTGTTCATCGAATTTATCAAGCCGTTGAGGGTTGAGCTTAGGCCTAGCCGTGGTGGTTTTCCCCTCCCTAAATGAGGTTTTCCATAATAGAAAATCGCGTCCGGGCCCCGGAAACGACTTCACATCGGTAAGACCTCCACTGTTGATGTGTGCGTGATATGGTGCCTCGTCACAAAGTAGCGCATAGCGAGGAAGTATCAATTCATTCGAATGTAAACTTCTTGTTGGTGTTGCGTGTAAGAACGCACTGGCTGATATCCAAAAGAGCGGAGCAGCGAGATCCAACTTGGATGAACGCTAAATTGCCACATTGTATAACGAAGTTTGCTCGACTGTTGTTTGTTAGAAAACTGTTATAATAAATGAAGGTTGGCGCTATGTCGCGTGTCGCAATGTAACAAAATTGAGCTATTCTGCTCGCGAACAGGGCAAATCAGCGAATCGCTCATTTTAAACTTGAACAATTTGCCACTTCACAGAGCAGTTCGCTGCTTTACCGTAAAGTCTTTACCGCTAGAGGATTCCGAGGGGGGGAGTGGGCCGTCACCATATTACGTGTATAGGGTGATAGAGTTCACACTCGGGGGTTTTCTTAGTCTTCCCTGAAGAATTCTTCATCAGCGATGAATCGTTGCCTCTGCACAGTCGATAATAATAGCTCTGGTAAAGCACGTTGATTGTTCCCAAGAGTGAACATTCCGCATGAATGGGATGTCAGGGAATTCCATAGTGATACAGTACCACGGTTACTATCAATATTGTTCAATCGTCGATATGGGCTAGTGACGGCTCTTCACGGCTTCCTTTTTTTCGAAATGCATCGTACTAAAGAATGCAGCGTTTTAATCTAACTGCAGTCCTCCACAGCTGATTCGATCATGGCATTACGCTACCGGCGTATAACGGCGTCAGTACTCAACATTAGTTATAGCTTGTGTCAGCCTCGAGATGTAAAAGTGTATAGATCGTGTTGTCACGAAGTTGTCCAGTGATGAATGAGCTATAGTGTAACACTCCTTGGTCTGCAAGTGAACACAAACACTGAATTTGCAGAGACAGCAATGTTAAG